CAGAGCTCTCGGCAGGAAAGAACACTTTTTGTCTCTTTCCGCTTAACTGTTGAGCAAGGATACTGATTTCAATTCAAAGCACTAGTTTCTAAATTTTATAGCTGGCCTAATTTTTTGACCAAAATGGAGACAAAGGTGCACCACTTTTTACCTTTGAGCTGACCTACCAAATGTGGTCCACATCAATGTCAGTACACCTGGTTTTCGCTATTGCCAAGCAGCACCTTAATTTTCTTAATTTGTCCTTGTTTGATCCCCGATATTTCCAAAATGTGCATTTTTCTCGTTCTTCTTTTCAACCACACATTTTTCAATAAAATAATATTACATGCAAACCCAAAACCTTTTCTTAGTTTTTAACCACACGTTCTCCATCAATCTATTATTCCAAAATGCAATCTTAGCACAAAATGAGGCTCAAACAAGCTTTTTAGATGAGTTCAAAGATCAATCCACGCAGCATAGATTGTATACATATTTTTTTGCTAATAGGAAATTAGTCAAGAGTCAAGAAAATATTCGAGCATGTCACTTTAGCATTGCAACATAAAATTTAAATGGTAAAATAATTTGATATGATTAGTTGGGGGGGGGGGGGGGGAGAAAAATTAAATGTTGCTTTGGATCATAAGCTTAATATCCTCCAGTTCTTCGGTGGTAAACTTGTTTCCATACAAGAATTTGGCCTGTTCAGTTAACATTATTGAAAGACTAGCAAGTGAGGTATAATAGATAGGGTAAAAATGATTGTTTTAATGCAAAATGCAAGTGAAAATCAACAAACGTCTCAAGGAAAGTCTTTACTGAAAAGAATCAAAAGAAATGATTGTCTTAATACACCACAAGCAGAAATCTTCATTAAATGTTTTGAGAAACTTATTAACAGAAATCATCCTTAAATGATTCTCTTAATGCACCACAACCAACTTCTAACCATGAAATTGATTTACGAATGTTTAGGGAAAGTTTTCACCAATAATAATCTCTATAATAATCTTTTGAAAACCAGAAGTTGGTTACCTGTTTGAAAATAGTACTGGTTCCAGAACCCTGAAGTCCAAGTAGAAGAAGCTTCTGAATTTTCTTCTGCTCTAGATAATTCGGTACGGCAGTATAATTGCTGGCCTCATCAGTCTGTCCATGAGGTTGACCTTGGGGCACAGGCAAGGAGAACAAGGAGCAGATAAATCGTGTTGATGCCTAGCAAAATTAAATTTTAAATGCTATTGAAAAGATCCGGACTTGTATACTATTTTCAGAATGCATACATCACACAATTTCCATAGTAATCATTAATAAATACCTTTTCCCAGATATTGCCTCGGATATTATTTTGACCTTCCTCCTCATAACGACCATCATCATAAACCCAGAAATGAGTATCTCGTGGACATTGCACATTTGCAAGCTGAACCCATATACATTATTGAAACATGTTAGGACAAATTGAACATGGACTGAAAACACAATCAAGCAGATAAAAAGTCTTCACAAGGTGAACCATAAGGTTAAAACTACACCAAAAGATTATGAAGGCAGTGAAACTAGCTGCTTGAGTCTCTTTTCCCAAAGCAGAACTCCATACTACTCCAACCTTTAAGTTATTGGCTGATTGAAATACGCCTTATTTTTAACTCCTTTGTTTACATGCCTTCTTTTAGTTATTCATTGATTTATTTCCAACAGCATAAGTAAGAGAGAAAGGAGAGGAAAGTTGGATGCAAGGAAAAGAAAGGAGAGTCATAAATATAAACACATGTGATAAAACCAAATCTTTTGGTGAATTCCTCTAGCTAATGTGATCAGCCTGGGGGCAATCAAATGAGTATCACATAATAAAATAACCAATTAACAGGCAGAACTTGAAAGTATATTCTAGATGTAGAAGAAATCAAATCAATTAGGATTTTATAGTATTTTCCTCATTGATTATTATTGCATTTTATTGTGATTGTATGACAATTGAATATGTCTCCTTCATTTATAAAGGAAACCCTAGCTTTCCTAATTAATCCTAGCTTAGACTTATAAAGAGGTTATTTGATTGTAATAGACACACCTTGATTATTGAATAAAACTACAATCTTCCTCTTACTTCTCTCTTCTTTCTCCTTTCTGTCTAAATTCCTCTGATTCTTAATTATTCTTTTGTTCCTTGCATTCATCATCGGTTTGGTATCAGAGCTTGACACTCTCCCATGACCAAAGTGTTTCTCTGAATCGCGTTACAATTACGAAAGATGTCAACAACCATTTAAAACCATATAAATAACCACCATTGCCCTGCCACCTACGAAAATCCATCATCCCTATGGCCACCAACTGCGCCAAGACCCTCTGCAAGGGCAACATCAGCCATTATGTTCTCTTTTTTATTTTTCTTTGCTACTCTAAAAGGAGAGGAAAAGTGAAAAAACTGTGTCAGTTTGTTACGCTCAATCCTAGAGAGCTATGTTATTGTTGCTCTTACATAATAGGGTTGGCCTTTCAAGCCCATCACCCAGCTCACTACAAATCCAACCCAGTCCACAACATTCCCGATTTGACCCAGCCCACCGTCTGACCCATAACATTCCCAGTCCAAACCTAATCACAGACCAACAAGAATTATTGGAGAAGGGGAAAGGGAAAGGGAAAGGGAAAGGGAAAGAGGGAAGAAGAGGGGGAGAGGAAGAGAGAAATCGGGGAAGAAATTCAATTTATTTCATCATCAAAGGTTCCTAATTACATTGCATAAGAACCCTTTATATAAGGTTTCAAAAAATCCTATTCCAAGTAAGAAAATGCTATAAAAGGTAATAAATCAAATACTAATAAAGTTTCCTAAAATAGCGTTAAAATTGAAAACTAAATAAACATAATATCCCTTCTAATTCTCCATCATTTCTCTCTAGTTGAGAGAACTCGACTTCGACGAGGTATAATCCAAATAGGCAACCAAGAACTTAGCATCCAATTGAGGAAACTTGTCTTTAGTAATTCATGTAGCATCGCTAAGTGGACAATTCTTCCAATGTACTAGAAACCTACGAAAAGCACCATCTTAGGAAGCAACAATCTGATCATCAAACACCTCATCAATGATATCATGCAGAAAAAACATGGTAATGGGTGCCCGAGGAAGCGACCGAGGAGACTATCCTGCAGAAATATTATACGAAAACAACGGAGGGTCGAATGTGCCTTGATAAGGATATAAATCTGCTATATAGAAAACATGAGTAATATTTAAGAGCAATGGCAACTCAAGTAAATAAGCATTAGTTCCAAATTGTTTAATAATAGGGAAAGGTCCAAGTTAGTTAGCACATAGTTTCTTAACAACGTGTTTAGGAAATCGTTCAGGTGCAAGTCGTACCATAACATAATCCCCTTTATTAAATTCTTTATGCTTATGGTGGGAATCAGCTCATAGTTTATAATGCTCATTACTTAAAGAAATTTTACGTTTAATCTCATCGTACAAATCATGAATATGATTAGCACAAGCCTGAGTGGAAATAGTCGGACGAAAATCAATAGGCAAAGGAACAAGACCAAGAGGTTGAGGTAGAGGAAAACCTTGGACGACCTCTAAGGGGCTATGAATGATAGACCGATCAACATAATTATTATAAGCAAATTTAGCAGTGGACATTACAAGACCCAATTACCCGGTTTATCCACAACCAAGCAACGAAGTATATTACCTAGACTACGATTCATAACTTCAGTTTGATCATCGGTTTGGAGGTGAAAAGCAGATGAAAACTTAAGTGTCATCCCAAATAGTTTCCATAGTATCTTCCAAAAGTAACTAACAAAATTAACATCTCAATCAGACACAATAATAATTTGAAGCCCATGAAGATGGACAACTTCTTTAAAGAACAACTTAGCAATATGGGACACATCAGAAGATTTGGAACACGAAATGAAGTGTGCCATCTTAGAGAACCCGACTACCATGAAAATGAAAGCATGACCTCCAGCGATTTTAGGTAATCTGAGAATGAAATCCATACTAAGGTCATGCCAAAAAGTATGAGGAACGGAAAGAGCATACATCCTAGTATTGACATTGTACCTTATTTACACACAGAGACAATGCGAGCGACCTCTTTCTAAAGAGAAGGCCAATAAAATCGATCCTCAACTAAGGCAATAGTTTTATCTCTACCAAAATGGCCAGCTAGGCCCCCGACATCTAGTTCCCAACTCAGAAAGTCACAAAGATACGATGAATACACAACTCGGTGCCCTTGAAAAGATAACCATCTTTAAGTAAGAAAGCAGCATGGTCGTGAGAAGGATTATCTACAAGTTCCTGAAAGATAATGCTAAAGTCGGGACAACTAGGACAATCATCCTTCAAGATTTCAAATCCTACCCTAGTAGTGCTTATAGAAGAAACACTATAGTGATACAACTAAGAGCATCAACCGCTTCATTTTCAACCCCGGCCAAATGATGGAGAACAAAAATGTACTTGGAAAGTCTATTCGAGGCGTAAAAGAAATTAACATGAATTACAATAGAATTTTCCATTATCACATTTTTTTAGTTTAGGTAAATTGATTTTGTAAAACGAAAATTCTAATTTTCCTTAGTAGTCGTGATTTCCTTTATTGGTCATATTTTTAGGCTATATAAAGAGGCAAATTGATTGTAATGAGATACACTTGAATATTGAAATAAACCACAATCTCCCTCATTTTCTCCTCTTTCTCCTTTCTTTTCTTGATTGGTCTTTTACTCCTCGCATTCGTCATCACTTCCTTATCTACGTCACACACCCAACCCACCCTCCATACTTCCCTGTTGCTAAAACATGGCACAAACAATCTCACGATCACCTTATGCCTTGAAGGATGGACAGAATTCAACTCTACAGCTGCTCATCTAGACAAATATGATAATATTCAACCTCTAATTATAAAACGTATAACTTAGCCCATGTTTGGCCTCCATTACGTGGAAAAATTAAAGTGTGAAAAGTGTTTTTTTTTTTAAAAATGAGTGGTTGAAAAAGAAGGAAATTTTTTTGATTTACGTGTAATATTATTTTATGGAAAATTGTGTGGTTGAAAATAGGAGAGAGAAAAATAAAATATAATGTAATGAAAATTAACGGGGCTCAAACGGTAGCTTAAATTACTTGATGGAAAGGGTACAAACAACTCAATCAAGCAGTAATGCACAATGAATCCACATGAAAGAATTTAAAGTGATTATGAATCTCAAGCTACAAACTTCTCATGGAATCAGGAAGGATTATAGCCCTCTATTTCTAGGGAAATGTGCCTATCAAATACATAGATACTCCAGTTATGCAAGCACGTGCAAAAACCCAAATACATAAGATTTTTATGATATTTTCAACCTCAGAGCATATATTAACTCATATTTCTTTTTCAATCATTTCAATTGTAATTACTATTGATTTGATAACCTTATAGTTCGATAAAATAAAAAAAACTCGATTTGTCAGAAAAGTGCTTGATAATGACTTTTTTTCTGTATAACGGGATTATTAGTTGCTCGTTGGATTTATTCGGGACATTTTCCACTAAGTACTTTATATGAATCATTAATCTTCCTTTCATGGAGCTTCTCCCTTATTCGTATAGTTCCGTATTTCAAAGAAATCAAAACTCTATTAAAGAAATAACTAAAATGGCAACATGCCATGAACTGCATATTTTCCAAATTTTGGTTATAAAATGTCAACATCTACATGCATATATACACAGACAGCCCCATATGTTAAATGTCTACAAGACTCGTACACTTCAATTATTTTTTTGAAATTATGAACCAACCTTCAGTACTCTCAGTTCAAGTTTTGTGATTTCTCGACCATTGATGCAAACCTCAGTATTGCCATTGCTTGCATGACGATTGAGTTTCCCAGTGAAATTTAAGTTTGAACTTATAATTCTATCTGGTTTCTCTCCCTCCTGTCAGATGAACATGTACAAACTGTATTGGCTTTTCTTCCTTTTCTGAGAAACATTAACAAAATAAATAAGACAGCTGAATACATAGCACCAATAATGAATTACCTTTCCCCAAAAACCTGATTCCTTGTCATACCAGTACCTACCTGGCTTCAATTTCTTAGGAGGTAAAGGGCATCCAAAAAGTTCTGCCATCTCTTCAGGCTTTAAAGGATATCCATTCACAATTAACTGCTCTGGCCGAAGCTGATTAGCAGAACATTCTTTTTCAGTTTTCATTATGTGTTTGGCTTCTAAAGGACTGAGTAAACATGACAACAACCTCGAATGTTTCCCCAATTTGAACCGATTTGACTCGTCAATTGGCTCGCCAATACAGGTAACACATTTGCGCCCTTCTGGCATGGAACCCATCGCTCTTAGCACACAATTGCTGCAATATTTTGCATCACAAACTAGGCAGGATTCCTTGGTTTCCCATTTCCCTTTTCCACATCTATAACAGACTCTCGTTTTTTTCCTCTTCTTTTTCTCCTTGGTTACTCCTATAAACTCAGGAATCAATTGTTTTTCCACATCAACCACCCTTCTTTCGGATCGATCAACAGTATTAAAGGTGACCACTGTGGCTTTCTTTCCTTCACCAGGAGGCTCTTTTGGAGCATTGCTGCATCGACTGTGCACAGAACCTGGGGAAGCAGAAGGGGAACGTGATGAAGATTCGGGGTTTTGCAAGACAGATACCACAGACTCCGAACTTCCTGATATCCTAGGACTTTGATTAGGTGGACTGGCGACACTTGTAATCCGTGACACTGGTAGTGGCAAAGGAATCGGTTCAATTACGGGGGCTGCATCACGGGCAAATGATCTTCTAGATTCTGAAAGGGGTTCAGCAGTTGGAATCACATCCGAGTTCATGTCAAGGGGTTCTACTCGCGGAACCTCATAAGAAACTGGGGGCCCCTTATATTCCAGAGCTATGGAGTAATCCAAATTATCATCGTCAGGAATGGGAGCCCCTGGAGGAAGCATCTTCCTCACCATCCCCCTCCAACCATTTTCCCCATTTTTCTCCATCTTTCCTCACACCAAATAACCAATGTCAATTTTCAATCTATGGTAAATCCTTGACAATTTAAAATTCACACGTCAATTTCACAATAATCTAATAAAATTAGCAATGTAGAAACAGCTGCATAAATGGGTTGTTACACAACTTCGAAAAACCTACAAAAACGTCAAAATTCGAACAATGAAATCACATAACTTAATTCAACAGTTCAAGCACGTGGAGGTTCGCTGAAGAAATTCAAAAGCTAACACGCGCTACCTAAAAGTCCAAACCTCTTATCTTTAAAAGAAATTCAGAATTTTTATGCTTCAGAGTCAAACTTTCACGCGATAAATCCAAACCCGTCAATTTCAACAGCAAACCATCTCCATAAGTCCACCGTCAGAATTTTTTATTTGTTTATTTATTTATGAATATAAAGATAAAAACGGGTAATGGTATAAAGAAATGCACGAAAGATTGACAAAAAATACTTCACAAAAAGTAAAAACATCTTTGCATCGAAGATGTAACAAAAGTCCAACAATAAAGAGTTTTTTGAGTGCATGTGTGTACCCAAGAAAAGGACAGTGTGTACCAAGGACAAGTTAAGANATGTCAATTTTCAATCTATGGTAAATCCTTGACAATTTAAAATTCACACGTCAATTTCACAATAATCTAATAAAATTAGCAATATAGAAACAGCTGCATAAATGGGTTGTTACACAACTTCGAAAAACCTACAAAAACGGAATTCACCACCTGACCAAATCGTAGCGCCACGAAAAACCCGTCAAAATTCGAACAATGAAATCACATAACTTAATTCAACAGTTCAAGCACGTGGAGGTTCGCTGAAGAAATTCAAAAGCTAACACGCACTACCTAAAAGTCCAAACCTCTTATCTTTAAAAGAAATTCAGAATTTTTATGCTTCAGAGTCAAACTTTCACGCGATAAATCCAAACCCGTCAATTTCAACAGCAAACCATCTCCATAAGTCCACGGTCAGAATTTTTTATTTGTTTATTTATTTATGAATATAAAGATAAAAACGGGTAATGGTATAAAGAAATGCACGAAAGATTGACAAAAAATACTTCACAAAAAGTAAAAACATCTTTGCATCGAAGATGCAACAAAAGTCCAACAATAAAGAGTTTTTTGAGTGCATGTGTGTACCCAAGAAAAGGACAGTGTGTACCAAGGACAAGTTAAGAATTTGAAATGGAAAAGCGAAAAAGGAAAAAAAGCTGACTTCTTTGCCAAAGTCTTTTAAAAGAATCTAATAGTAGACTATAGATACAGATAGAAATTCAAAAATAATAGTTAAAATAGTGAAATAACAGTCAAAAATTTTATTTTAATTGACTTTTAAGTCCTACCAAACAAACTATATATATATATATGTTAGGAAGACACGAGACAGACGATTTGCTGAATGAAAAAGGAGGAAGAAATGAAGTCCATGTAAGTTCACGGTTCTACAAATTTTTTTTTTTTAAATTCATTTTCAATCACATTTTTTCAATAAAAGAATTTACACGTAAATTTAAAATTTTTTCAATTTTTTAACCTCACATTCTCTAAAAATTCATTATGATAAAACCTTTAAAAAACAAAAAACAAAAAAACTGAGTCTCAAACGGAGGGTATGTAATTCGGGTGCGAGTGTTATAAGCAAATTGTTTCTTCAGCCCTTGTGTTGGGTGTGCTTATGAGTGTTGATAAGTTCGGGAGCTTAGGGGGCGTTCGCTTTGCGTTTTTGTTTTCTATTTTCTATTTTCAATTTCATTTTGAATTTTGTGTTTTGAGTGTTTGTTTTCAAATTGTTGAAAATACGTTTGGTTTGTCATTTTGAAAAACTATTTCTCAAAACAAAAAATAAGAAAATGTGTTTGGTTTACAAAATTTAGAAAACATTTTCACATACTCTCTCTCAATACCGCCACCTATAGAGCATCATCTCCCACTTTTTGGTCACCATGGTCACTGGATCATAGTACCAACTTGAAGCCTGCAATGTCGTCTATAAATCCCACCCAACAGTTGGCCTTAACTCCGAGCGAACAGGTCGGAATTTCTACTCAAAATCAACAAGTCGTGAGGCCGAAAACTCCCATTCCGGCGACGACTTCTGCATGAATTGATGAAATTGAAGTGTTACCCATTGTTGTAGGGACATGATTCACCCTCGACTGATGCCAATCAACTGATTTAAATTGGCCAGAAACATGAATCGATACCGTTGCTTCATTCTCACTACTATTGTATTTGAGTAGATTCACATCTCAACGAATTGGTGTATTATTGGTTGATGTTAGGACATGATATTGTTCGCCTGGATGAGGGCTATCGACTGTTGGTGGTGCGCGACCATGGGCGTCGCCGGAATGGGAGTTTTCCGGTAGAAAAGTGTGTGTGACATTTGTGTTTTTGGCTGGATTTTCTACTGCCTCTGGTTGATTTGTGGTTGATGGTTGGTTGGATATTGTAGAGGGGAATGAGGCGAGGCTTCTGGTGGTTGAAGCAGATGGTTTCGTTGTCGGAAGGTGGTGATTCCAACAGTTGAGAAGACTCAAGAAAAAGGAAGCCGAGAAATGTGTTCAGCCAGAAAGAGTGTCCATTTTCCGCATTTTCCACAATTTTTCGCCTTTTGTGAAGAAAACGCCCAAAATGTGATTTTCACATGTTCCGTTTTCTTCAGTAATTTTTTTTTTTGTTTTCGAAAACGCATTTTTGAAAATGGAAAACCAAACGCGTTTTCGAAAACTAAAAATGGAAAAGGTTCCAAAACGGCAAAGGGAACGCACCCTTACTTTTTGTAGCCCAAAATAAATAAGGGCATGTTTGATTTAAATTTTTTAAAGAGTGATTTTTTTAAGAATGTGTGGTTAAAAGTAGAGAAAAATTATAGATTCGGGTCAAAATTTAATTTATTAAGAGTTTATAATTGAAAATGAGTTCTAAAGAATTTGTATCATGTAAAGGTTAAATTGCTAGTTACATGTAGTAATTGTAATTCTTAAGTTATCTACTTTCTAAAAAACAAGCAAAGCAACTTTTAAGCATGAACAAGCAAGTGAATTCCCCAAACATTGAGTTGTTGAGTTCGTAACTTCGAATTTTAAAATTAAAAACTAGATAGTTTTAATATGGATATTGGCTCTAGCTATGGAATAACAAGATTGAAATTTTGTTAATTACACCAGAATAATCAAAACTTTTGTTATCAAAAAAGGAAATACGAAAACAAAACAAGAAAATTTTTGTTGAGGGATAAATCCCAAATCGAGTAATCATAAAATAAATAACAAACACATATAAGAGTTTGGATCACTATTCTTAATAGTTTTGACATTGTAAACTAAAATCACAAATATTATTATGATATTATGGCACATTAAGCTCAAACAAATAATTCAATCGAATTAGGATTCAAAGAGCACAAGGGTTACAATATTGGTCTATTAAAATGAGTCACAATCTTATACGAGTAGTTAAGAGATAAATATCTCACCAATTAAATATAAAATACACATCGAAATATAGATCAACATGCAAAAATTAGGCTATTCATTTTAACAAGATTGACATTCTAAAATAAAGTATAGGAAGCGAAATATATGATAAAGAAAAACCATGTTCAAGAGATCTCATTCGGTATGAGATTAGAGAAAACTAAAATGGCAATTAAGTCTTAATATGTTAAGAAAAAAATCGCACATAGAATAATTATAAAATTAATAACCAACATATGAAGGTTTGTGCTACTTTCTTAACAATGATGACATTTTAAAATAAAATTTAAAATCTTAAGTATCAAAGTCATTTAGCTCCAACCAGCAATTCAGTCGAATTAAAACTCAATTGAGTCAATGATTCCAATCTATTCTTAATACGATGCCGAGCTTATTAAGCTTCAACAAGAAGTTCGATTCGATTAAAACTCAATTGATCACACAGATTCCAATATTTGTTACAATTCATAATTGTGAGCTCATGAATTTCACAAAATAAAAAAATATTATATATAAATATTTATTCACCTTTCTATCCTTCGAATAGCGATTATCCAATTTTTTAGCCTACACGAAGCCAGCACATGCCAGCAACGACAAAACAATAGCAACAATAGTGTTTGATGCTTTATTTTTCATTATCTTATTGATTCTTATATGACAATAGGATGAGTAGTTGACCTTAAGTAATAAAATAAAATCATGCTATATTTTTGACACCTCGCATATGTGTAACTCTTCTATGTACAAATATCATTACTCAAAAGTTTATTGGGCTTGAGCGGAGGGGCACTGCAAGCTCTCCATCTAACAATGTATCTCGATATACATTTATTACATCCTTACATTAATGCAAATGATATTTGGGATGGGACGCATACTACCACATGCATAATTTGCCATATTTTTAAAGTCAACACAAAGGGATAAATGATAGAGGGTCAAATGGTTTAATTGATAGTTCAACGAAAAAAGTTATTAGTCAAATTAACGAATATGAATATAAATATAATGATCGAAATGTAACAAATTTTGATGTTCAATGACCGACTTGTAACAATAATTTAACATCAATGACCAACTTGAAACAAAAATAAAGTTTAATCATCAACAAGAAGCGTCGTTAAAATACAATAATATCAAGTGTTTGAATTGGTTAGATTAGACAGAATTAGAAAGACTTACAAGATAAACATTACATAATTATTCAAAAGTCCAACTCAACCTAGGGGTACGAAATGGGGAGAGTCACTTGAAGGCTCGCGCCCAAGGCAAGCCGTGAATGCGAGTCGGGTAGCAAAACATTCATTGAGCCACTCTTCGGCTCGCATGAATTGGCATGCCATGGGACGAATTGAGCCATTTAAGCAAGTCAGCTCATACTCGACTCATTCCAAACATGCACGAGTCGACTCACATGGTGGACAAGTCCAACCATCCATTTAACACTCCTAACTCAATCCAACTTATTACTTTACAAAGTGGAACTAAGGGTCCGTTTGATTGCAAATATAAAATTTGGGTGGAAAGAAAATGAATTATAGATAATTGAATTGCCTAAAAATTATTTTATAGGAAATTATCAATTATTGTATTTGATTGATATAATTTTTCACATAGAAAATGTTAAAATAAATGTGTTTTTTAGTGTTTGTTTGACTTTATTTTATATGAAAATTATCAATTAAAGGGATAAAATTTACTGGTATTGCGGATAAAATTTATTTCCATTGCCAAAAAAAAGTCAAGAAAATCATCTATCTTTTGATGTTCGTCTGGCTTTGTTGAAATTTTCAATTAAAGGAAAAAAAAATTTACAATTAGGGATAGAATTTGTTTTCATTGTAAAAATAAAATAAAAAAATCAGCAGATCAGCCTAGACCTTGAAAATCAAGAAAATGTCCACTTTTTAAGAAAACCAATTCCATGGAAAAAATATACTATCAAACTGTTAAAAAGCAAAAGTTGGAATTTGAATTTCATTTTTCATGAAAAATAATGGCCAATCAAACGTGGCCTAATATCCAAAAAAACAAAAAATGAGAGTAATAAATAGGGTAAGAAAAAGTTGAATGTTTGATTGCAATAGTACACAGTTCTTTCCGTAGAAAAACGGTTTGGTAACTGGTATACAGTTATTACACGTTCCATTAATGCATACTTGCAATTATAGAGGACCACAATAAATGCCATATGGGACCTCCATTGATTTGCACTGGCTAGAGCATCAATTACAAACCTGAGTTATACAGTTGGATGGTTGATATAGTCATCCAACTGACGTACAATATCTTAAATAACATAAGATTTTTATCTTTCACAATCTAGTGAATTGTTGAGTGACAACATGGAGTGTGGTAAATTCGATAAGTATATCCTTACAATTATGTCGACTCGTTTATTTTGTGTTCAGTATTAGACGCTAAATATACAAGGTTTTTATCTTTCACAATCTTGTTCACTAGCTTGTTTATAGAGTAGTAAAATTGTGAATGAATTTTCATCTTGCACAATCTTGTCCATTACTGTCTTGTCCCGTATAACAAGTCGACCATGTCATTTTTTATTTTTATAACGGGAAAACCCGCAATCACTACCCTTTTGGTGTGCACTGAGTAAATTTTCGGGTTGACGCAATAGCTTGCAAATCATACCAGTCTGGTAAACCACACTAGGCAAGTCCGGTGCGACAGACTCGACCGAAAAAGTGTTGGTAGGTGGAATCGAACTCGTGATCAAAGGTCTCCGTGCTCACCCACTCCACCAACTCGACCACCCTATGAGGGGCAAGTCGATCATGTCATTTTTGCTTTGTCCGTGGCTGGATTTCATGGATTCTCAATGACATACTTTGCTTTTGGTGACCAACTTCTCTTGAAAGGGGATTGGGTGAAAATAGTGTCATTTGATCAACTGCTCTTTGCAAGTAGTAAAATATTTGAAATTTGTTTGTTTCTTTTTGGTTTCTTTTGACGGTGGATTGTGCAATTTGATTATTTTGTCTAGTGTGATGAAAAATTTAAACGAAGTGCCTTAACAAGAAGTGTCAAAAAATTTTAGGCTGTCCACATCTGATTATTTGAAATGGCCCGTGCCTTCAATGCAAAGGAGAAAAGCAGAATCATCTGAATAGAAGTTATGATAGATGAAGTGAAAGCCAAAAACTTTTATTTTCTAAGATAGTGTTACAGATAACAACAGATAGGCAATGACTTTATGGTCTGGAAAATAACTTTTATTTTCATTACAAAATAGGAATCACCCAAGCCTAATACTGTAACTCATGAAGATACATTTGATATGAAATTGAAGTGTTGAATGTTAATGTTAGTATGATTGATGCAGGACGAATTAAAAAAATAAAAAGAATAAGCAAGAAAGAGGGAAGAACCGAAGAGAATGGGAGGAGAAACCGGAGAAGAAGCAGAAATTGATGGGGGAGAGGGGAAGGGAGAGGAAGGAGAAGCCATAGGCAACAAACCACCAAAATATTCTTCAATTCATCAAAACTAATGAAATTACATCGCAATTAGGTTTAAATAGTAAAGACTAAAATCCTAAGTAGAATGGACTTGGGCCAACACAAGCCCAATTACATAAATAAAGTCTAAAATATAAATAAAGTCCAATTAAAAATAAATAAAAAGTAGATGTCCTCATCAATGATTCTTAATTTCAAAGAATCTGAGCTGAACAAACAGAAGATGTCATTTCCATTGTTCTTGGGTCATTGTTCTCTAAGCATACGCCATGAGGATCTTCTCTGATTAGCAGGGCGAGAACGTTGAGTGAACTCCATGTTTTTATCACATTGTTGCTTGAAGCCCCAAGGGTGACAGCAAAGACTGCATCAAATCCACCTGCACCAGGCACACCAGCCAACAGAACTCCTTCCATGCTCATCGTGGTGTCCAGAAGCTGGGTTTGTGATTCCGGCTCTATCTGCAAATGGCAGTCACGGTACAGAAAATGGTAAGGGAGGTAGCACAGGAAACTAATAAACAGAACTTTTTAGTGCATGTTTGGTATGCAATGTGGAAAGAACTATGCAGTATAATGAACAAGATTTTTTTTCTTCCTTAATATTGTTTAGTGCTATCTAATTTTCTCTACTAAACACGCCCTTGTGATTATCGTTGTAAAGTATTATATCATTAGAAAGATGTGGCTGTGATTTACAATTACAAATCTTGTATTTTTCTAAGGGAAGGCCCTATGGGATTGGACCCAGGGGAATAATTCAAACCTTGCACAATTCACATACCTGCCCTCTCTCTTACAATGAGTGGGGATTGGAACGAGGAGGACGTTGAGAAACAAAATGCAGGCAAACTCGTAGAATAAGGATTATGGTTTAATAGATATAAGCTTTAACATTTTGCCCCCACGAAACCAGGAAACAGCATCATGACTCCCAAAAGGCATTAAATTGAAGTATCAGTTTCTTCTTCCACAGAAAACAGCTATTAAGTAGAATTAGTTGTCTTAAATTATCAACGGATGGACAGGTTCACCACAGAACATCAGATTTCAATTTTTTTACAAAAATATTCAACACATAAGTGCAGAAGTTTCAAACGGGTCAAATCTATGCACCAATGCAAAAGGACAATTAACTTAAACCAGAGAAAAATAGAGACATGGGCACCCAAAAAAAGTTCCACTTGAATAAAAGAGAACTTACAGGAATTCCAGCAGCTTCTCCCATCTTGCGCATGCTATAGCGGATCACAAGCATCGCATCTCTAGCTCCCAACAATGCTCTAACAACTTCTACTTGGCTTGGCTCACTGGCCCTCTCATTCCACTGTTAATCACCAAAAGTACCACTTAAAAATCCAAAATATACATGAGGATATTTGTGCCAAAATCAGAATGAAAAGGTCAAAAGTTTTGCAGTGTGAGTGTGAGTGTGCGTGCGCTTGAGTGCACATGCGTGCGTGCGTGCGAGTGTGTGTGTGTGAGAGAGAGAGAGAGAGAGATAAGAACAGTGAGAGATTTCATGTGATAAGCCCATCATCATAACTTGATTAGCTAATTCACAAGGGATGTAGTTCTATAGTTCATTGCATTAGATACGCTTATGAGATGCAAATTCACACCCTACAAAAGTTTCTGGGTTGAGACATCCAAAAATTGTCAAGTGGTGCGGAATAATATCCAAGCAGCAGTTGAGATGGGCTGTCTTAAGCCCAGGTGCATAATCTCTGTTACTGGGAAATTAGTGTGCTTTAACCTTCAGACAACATTTTCAGATGTGTCTAGTTAGAAAAGTGCTGATAGAAATTAAGAACCTTTCATTTGCAAGGGGTATGCCCCTATTGGATGCATTTTATACTAAGGGATATGCCCCCATTATGTTCTACAGTGTTTCTTAGTTTCTGTTAAGAAAATCTGAATGCTTAGTTAAATACTTGCCCAACCAAAGAAAAGAAAGGAATAAATAAAAAAGAAGGAAAAATAATCCTATCAAAATTTTCAGTTTGCTAGTATTAGTTGTTTCAAAGTATTGTTCAATTCTACATGACTAGCAATCTTCTATTTGCACAAATTCCCTGTACTCAATCTTGACTCTTCCTGTATCCTTTAAAAGACAGAGATTCTCTAACATTATCCTTCAAATAAATAAAAAATCCAAATAAGTTGAGCTTTCCTGGATGCTGTATCTAATAAGGATCATATCAGATACTACTAGAGGATTTCAAGCATTGTAGGTTTAATTAGCAAGATACTTATATATGTAGGTAGATGAAGAATCAAGAAGAAAGTTCTGTTACAATATCTCATTGATCATAGATGTTTTTATAGCAAGTGTTCCTTGAGGGTTTTGTTTACATAGCAGAAAATGTACATTACATAAACACATACCTAAGTAGCAAGTGTTCCCAGAATAGCTAACAAATAAAGAAGTGTAGAAATTACTATAGCAGCTTCTGCCTCATAGCTTTCATAAATGAACTTATGATACCTTCTCGGGGGTAAGATTGCTGCAGCTATTGATGACATTTGTATAAACATCACTAATTTTCTCTGCTAATTTACATAAGGTGTTGAGGTGCATTTCAAGTGCAGAATTTGCTTCTGACAACTTCTTCCATGTTTCTAGAGAATTTTCAGGATCAGATTTTTGCCACTTCTTTACAGCACCAACCATTGATGGCGTTGATGACCCTCCAGTCCCCGGTTCACCAAGTAACTGCATGTATATCATGATTAATTGAACGCACCTTTAAATGAGAAAATGAACAAAGATTAAAAAAATGCATACTTCAGTTCCTTGTAGTACGAGCAAGTGTTTGTGTTTTCCAACTATTAAAATATGATGTAAGACGTGGCGTTTGGAGGGGCACTTCATCACATTCAGGGTAATTGGGGGACACAAGATCAATAAAATTTGGAAGTTAAAAAACTTTAGTACTATTTGGTGCAAAAGTTCCACTTTTAAGCTGATCACTTCTAAATAACTTTCAGTCCTATCTTATCCCAGTTGGGGCAGAAGGGACGTTCCTGCAGAAGGCTCATAATCCTAGCTAACTCTAAGTATGGATATGGAATGAGCCAACTGCATTCACCACCTAACTGATGCAAAAACAAGAAGCATACCTGGTCATTAAATTACGGGATGTTTATTTTCATATTGTGTCCGTGTCCAGTGTCAATTTCCTATATAGATTAGGCTTTTGGAGATGTACGGAGGACATTACTGTTTCTAGATCCACAGCCACCCATGTTATTTTTTAATCCGATTGAATAATTATTTTGACTCTATTCCTGTTCTTCTCTTTGCCCCCATTTGACCTCCTGTATGCAAGTACATTCACTTTACTCTTACGGAATCACAGCGACTAATTCTATGGACTTTCTGCAGGTGTTCCAATATTCCAATTTCCTATCTTGATTCTATTACACTGGACTATTCTTTTTTCCCTGCTTCCGTCCATTAAATTGCGGGATGTCCAATTCGTTTTATGTGTGATGTCCAACTTCATCTCTCTAGCTTATTCTTTTGCGGATAATTAAGAAGCGCATTATTGAGGCTAGATCCACTGTTGGATAATAGTTCAGAGCTATGGCTCACAACACATGACTAAATTTGTTTAAAGAAAATTTTACAGGAAATCGGGTTTGAGCATTCTCAGGGAACAGAGGGTCAGAGGTAACATGGAAAACTGGTAGTATCCTACGTATCCTTTAACCCTGTGTTCTGAGAGGATGAAGCATATTGAATTGATTATCAATTGAACAAGAAATCTGGTTTGAGCATTCTTAGGGAACAGAGGGTCAGAGATAACATGGAAAACTGGCAGTATCCCACGTATCCTTTAATCCTGTGTTCTGAGAGGATGAAGCATATTGAATTGATTATCAGTTGAAAAAGAAAACATTTTATATAGATAACTTATTGATCCTATGTTAAGTAGGAAGATGAACAAGCTTATATATTTATCTTGGCTTTGGGTGGCTCAAGAGGTTCATTAAAATGTATAACGAGTTGAAAGCATATAATATCATTAAAATATATAACGAGTTGAAAGCATATAATATACATGCTTCAAGTTTGAGGGAGAATAATATAGCCTGCTTCATATTTATTTACAATACTAGGTCAAAGGGGGTATTGTAAGACCAACAAGTTCTTCCAAATCAATTATTATATAATTATATCGGATGCAGGTAATATTTAAATGATATAAACGTGGCCCTATCTTTCAGTTTAAGTTTTCAGATCAAGTAGTTCAACATGGTATCAAAGCAGGCAAAGATCATGGGTTCAAGTCTTGCTGCCACCCATTTAAATTAAATTATCCTCTTGTTAGGTCTTCATGGGAAAAAAAATCTCACACGTGAGGGGGCATTTTGAAGAAAATATTTACATGATATAAAGTGTCATATCTAATAGCTTACACTTTTAAGTCAAGTGGTTCACATTTAATGCAACCAACTATACATATCTAACTAAAAGGAGGAAGTGCATATAGTAATTGCGACTGCTGACCTTTAACATAGCATGACACAACATTTCATCACGAAGGTTCATCACTGTTACTTGTTACAAAAATCAAAACTTTCTACAAAAGAATATCCCAACCAGCAAATAGAAATATATGATCAGAGATCAAATCTTGAAGTCAATGTTCAGGTAGTTTATATAAGTGGTAGCAACAAAGGTCATGGTTGATGACAGACGTTCATATTTGTGCTTCATGTGCATACCAAAAAATGAAACTGATAGACATAGAAATGGTATTATACTACAAATATAAAAGTAACTTGTAAAACAAAAATAATTGTGAGCATCTCAAACCAGACATTTTAAAATAGCATTACATGGCATGTTTGCGGGACTTACAAGAGTCATCATGGGAGGCAGTGAAAATTTAGTTCTCTCATGATTCCAGTTGGCTTTTAGGACATTGTTGATGGCCTCTTCCATTATCATCCCTCCCTGAAACAATGATAAAAACAAGAGCTAAGAAAGTTCATGAATTTTTTTGGATTTCATTTTACAGTCGAGTATGTTATTATCATGACTAAATGGACTCCAGCTTTATCTCAGTGAAAAATCTGAACATGAATAGGCACCCCTTTATCTATCAATAAGCCGTAGCCCCTGAATGCATGATACCATCACTAGTTATTCCCTACGGGGGTGGTATGATAAAAAAAAAACTAACAATGACCCTTTTGGAATAAGCTTGAATTGATATCAGCAAAGAAACGACATAATGCGTTTGCAAAATTAAATCCAATTGGCATTTTTTTAAGTGCCCTTTGTCAGGACTCAACAAAATGATCTTCCTTGTCATGTGCTGTATAGAATCCATAACAAAAATAAATTAAAACTGTTTTACGAGTCAGGATGCTAATGAAGAAACTGTTTATCAATTGCTAGCATTATTTTTCAAATGCGGTCATTTCATGTGAAATTAACCTTTTTTGTGAAAGCCAAAAGTGGCTCTTTGATGGACCACAGATATGATGCATCTTAGTACAACAATGGGCATGACCCAATTTCATAATCTTCCCCTTGAGGTACTGGTCACTTGACTTTTCTTTTTCAATCGTAGTCGTCAAATTCAAAGATTTTTTCTCCCTCACACTGGTTAACTACAATCCATCACACCCTAGCAATTTGTATTATGCTTATTCAACTCAATGGTCTGTTGATTCTCACTCTTATCACTTCTTTTTAATTGCTCAGAAAATGTCAGCATTACAGCATAGGTAAAGATACAAAGCACTTAGTGCAGTTGCACAAATGTTGAAGTCTTCTTCGGTGGAATCAACCACCGAATTATAGAAAAAACCTGTGAACTCTTAGTCTTTCCATGTGATTGGGAGTCCTTTTCATCTCCTTGACCGCGTCAAACACTACTAACTTGTTAGGCTCTCATAAAGTATAACCTTATAATCTTTGCACAGCCAACTTCCGGGTAATGATTGTTATCTATTCAACTGACCTTTGGGTACCCTAAAAGTTATCAAGTGAGAAAATCTCATTTTCGAATTAACATCAAACCATAAGTCATCCCAAAATTGAAAATAAAGTTACTTCTTCATCCCAATGTCCAGATCTAGAACTTCCAAATATATTTCCAATTCAAGATAGAGGATGTATTTATTATTTTATTCTAGCAAGTGCATAACCAGTGAGATAGACAGGAAGCTGCAGTAGGATACCTGAGCTGACGAAATCACTTCCGAAGAAAACCGAACATACCGCTGACTGCCGTAAACGGCAGAACTAACATCAAAACCACTGCCAACTTTACCCTGTGCAATACAGTGAGCAGTTTGAGAAATCACATGCACAATATCCAGTTCCCTAGCATCTTTATCTTCTGCAAGTTGACCTTTAGCCGAGGAAAGGTTGACAACTCCAAGGTAATGAAGTAAAGCAGCAACAACTGCAGTTGTCATGGCAGCTGAAGATCCCAAGCCAGTTTTTGCAACTTCAGGCTTACTGTTTTGTCCACTGGATTCTTCTGCATTGAAGGTAATTGAAGCAAAGAGTGGAAGGGAAGCCAATGATTCTGGTGTCAATGGAAGTCCACGTGCTTCAATCTGTAAAACAGAGTCGTTATATTCTCATGATACATCATCTAGAAATAATGTGAATCCGCTAACGTACAGGTCAAAGTGTCTGTATGCAAGTCTTCATAAGTATATAAACATCAAGATGTGTGTGAGACACATGCACATATGTACACCTATCAAATATGGATTTTATGGGAATGATTTTTCAAGCTTATAAGTTGGTCAAACATATTTTTATCCACACATCCAATAAGACCCAATGCGTATAATCTAAAAAAAAGCTTTAACAAACATTCACTAGCATGGAGACAGCTCCTAAAACCTGAATAGCATAACTAGACAAGTAAGTGAAAATCTCAATATACATCTATATGTACATATATCATGTTCGGATCATATTTAGCATGCATACAAGCATATGACTATGAAAAAGAATCTTGTTCTTCTCTCATAACAAGTAACTTGAATATTATGAAACTTCTGCCGACATTTACTTTTCTTTTTTGTGCAATCCTTCCAATACTAGAATACTTCACCATCAGACCAATACGTTGTCCTTAGTAACAGAATAATTGCAACAGTTCAAAGTCCATTTTCCTGTTTGGAAATTACCCAGTATATATCACAATCTTAGAAAATAACATTCTGAAGTAGAGAAAAACACACCTGTAACTTAAATACAATATTAAATTGTGTAGTTACTTGTCCACATAAAGTGGAGAGGAACACAATGCATCAAAATTAACCCTCCAACACTCCAAATTAAGGGAAAAAGAAAAATGAGAACTGAAAGGTGGCATATCCAATATTGTGCTGAATTTGGTTATGCAAGGTGACGAGTCAGTATGTGAAACGAGGAAAATGTCATTTTGCTAAAGAGTAACGTTCCGGACAATTACATCAACATCAATAGAGTCAGTGTGATAAGTTGGTGCGATATATGGCATACACAGAAGTATACTGCTTTTTGCACCATTTTTCCAATTGTAGTTTCCTCTTTTTGTGTGCTGCAGAGCTCAGGTTGTGCAAAATATGTTTTCACAAATGATTTCTCAGGGTCTAAGGCCACATCACGAAGCCATCTTGCCAAAATAGTCTGTAGTGCTAGAAAAAGAAATAGAGGAAACAGATATCCGCAGATATATGATAATTGTTACTCTGCAACAAGGTGACATTTTTTGTACGCAATTTTTGCCCAAGTTCAAATACGATTAAAGGCCACTCTTAACCCATCCATTGAAAAACAAGATGCAAGCAAACTTCACTTCATATCAAACTGTTTAGAATTAGAAATATGGAAGGATTAGAAATCACGAGAAAAACTAGAAAGGTGAAATAGCAAAACTGCCTATTATTACAGTTGAAATTTCAAACTTTGAAAAGAACGAGTGATTGTCCCACACATATTTGTGTGGAAGATAAGTATGCTAAACCATATTCATTTGCCTATTAAGAAAGCAAAGAAATCTACAAACAAGCTCAGAAGGATATAAAAAATGAACCATGATCGAGAGAGTTGTAAGGGAGAATGGTGATTGATGAGAAAATTCCTGTGGATCTTTTCATAATAAAGTGCTGCAATATATTTTGGCCAACTACAGCCCCTGTCCAGTAATATGTACGAGATCTTGCACAAGGAGAAGTAAAATCTATATTTGCCTAACTTTTGGAATATTCAAAGCAACGTGTAACTAAACATAAACTAAGGAGGCTGACAAAATTGAAAGAGCAGATAAAATTTTCCAGTGCGCATCTGCGGATAAAATAATTTTTTTAGAAGAATACAACAGAGGTTTAATACCTGATTCCGATATGAATAAAATTCGTTGCAACCTAATATTGTAATGTCAAGACCTGCATGACTAATCCAGTTCAGACATTAGAATTTTTTAAATTTGTTTATTTACAGAGAGAATTATAGACACATGAAATATCAGACATTACCTTGCATAAGAAGTTTTTGCAATGTATCCTGCTTATTTTTGTCAAATGTAGAATATGCTGCTGCTGTTGAGTATTGCGCTGCATATTCTACAAATGGATTCCTCGATGCACTGAAATCAGATACCAGCATCAGAACTTCACATCAAAAACTAATTGCAAAATGTATTTTTTTATATTCATTTGATTAAAAGAATGTTAAGCTGTTAGCATAATTTGAGTATGTTTGATGCTCAATTACAAGCTTGATCAGAGAAGTGAAGCTCGTGAGGAAGGAAGATAATGTATGTACAAATTTGTTCTTACCTTGAAGAAACACACTCGAGAGTTAAATGCTTAAGTGACATTCTGTACATAGTTTCTCTTTCCATTTGAGGGGAAGTTAGTTTCACATCTGCCCATGCCTGAAATGTGATGAAGAAATCTGTCACATAATACACTATGAAAGGATATAATTATCTCGTAAAGATTCATCAAGAGAATATCAAGCACCGAAGTATCTCGGATATTTAATCAAATCAACAGAAAGTGATCTCTGATCATATTCACTTAAACTTCTACGAAAACATATTTAAGGATCAAACAAATAATTTGCCCTACTAAACCTTGTAGTATCTTGCACTTAAGTTTGAACTTCTTTCACTCCTTAAAAATATAATGGCAAGGCTTCTGATTTGTTCATGAGACCCCCAAAAATAACAAAGATGGATAAAGGAGTATATACTCAAATTAGTTCAAAGTTATTTTTCTAGATTCCACAGGAAGCCATAAGTTCAAACATAGCTAGTAATACAAAAATTTGCTTGAAAGCGACGAGCTGACATGCATTGTTAAAATAAGATATGTGTTCACACGAGAGGGAGGGCATCATAAATAAATTTCACTTACCCAAATACACAAGTAAACCTTAGCACACATTACTCCTTAAGCAATTAAAGAAAACAAAACTGCATCAGTAAATAAATCCAGCCATCATATCCTCCATATAATCATGACAATATCCAAAAATTCATTCAGCTCAATACAAAAATGATTATTCGACAAATTTCCAGCCTAAGACAGCCCTGTATAACAATGCAAGAGGAAAAATATCATCCCATCGCAACATGACCAGAATCCGACACTGGTCCTATTTTCGCAATCAACTCTGGTTGGTTTTATGAATTTCCACTTGATGTCAAATCAAAAAGAGAACGTTCCAAAAATTTTATTAATTAAATAGAGATGTAGATAAAAAAACAAAAGAAATATTTCAAACGAATCCAAATTTTATTCATAAAAGGAAAGATAAATATGTGTGTATTAAGCCATACGCACCCATGCCCAACTTTCAGGTTTGATTTCCTCGTAAAGTGGCTTCACAATTGCATAAAATCGAGCATTTGTACTAAGTACAATTCCAGCATTAGGCCTCTCCAAAACAAGATAACCCCCAGTCATCAAAACCTTTCCAGGAGCAGAAGTAACCCTAACAACCATCAAAAGTAATTATTTAGCATAAATTTCCCACTGTCCAGCAATGTCATAGATTTGGAAATAGAAACAAAACAAAAAATTAACTTACACAGCCATTTCTCTATGATTTTAAATCTGATGCTGCTGCAATAATGCGTTCAAGTTCAACTGAATAGAACTGAAATTAAATGTCAATAGATATCACTGTGAATAAAAACTCATGTCGATTTATAAATTCAACTGAACTGGAATAACTGTACAAACTGTGAATCGATCAGACAGATAAATGATAATAAAATCTGGTACATATTGAATGGAACTGAATTTGCAGAATACAAACAATCTTAAGCAAAAACAGTCGTGTTTGTATATATATGTAGGTATAGATTAGAGAGAGAGAGAGAGGGGGTTTTACCAGGCTGATGATGCATATGATTCGCATAGTTGAATCCAAGAGAAGGCGACAACAACAATGCACCAGGTGAGTGGGTAGGCGAGTCAGTCAGTCTTTCTTTCCGTGCGAATTTGACCTTCAGACTTCAAACTTGTACCACTACGGCCGGTCCCATTTCACTTGCAAAATTGCAATTGATGGCAACAAAGGAAGAGTTAGAGATCCGTTCAAAATAGACCGTTTAATTTGTTGTTCATCCAAATTATGCATTGACACGTTATTTTAAATTTATATTTTTTTATTTTATATTAATATTTTTTTTTTATCAGCGTCACTTGTGCTTTAAAATAGGTATAAATGATGTGTCAATAAATTATTGATAGATAGCAAATTGGAGACAATTTTGGACAACAAATCTCAAACTCACAGATGAATACTTGGTCATTGTTTGGTGAATTTAAAAGTTGATAAAAATTTAGAATCATACATTTCTAAGAATTCATAAATTATATCAATTGTTTAATAATGTATTTCATCAATTTCTATTAAATTCTAACATGGCTTATTGTTCATTTTGTATGCTTAAAAAAATTTATAAAAATTGATGTTAAAGTCAAAAATTAAACTTAATCAATAATTATTATTAATCATGTATCTAAATTCACAACTTTTTTTTTAATTTTTCAATCACATTTTTAATCAAAATTAGCTAAGTTTTTTTTTTTTTTTTTTTTTTTAAAGCTTTATCAAACAACTTCTTGTAAACATGTTTGGTCGTGATTTAAAGGATATTTTAATGATTTTTTAGGCACCATGTGAACTCACTTTAAGTATAACTAGTTAAAGTTGGACGTGCATTGCATGTTGTTCTAATATGCTTTATAAGTAATGTAAAAGTAATATTTGATGCTAATTTGTTGGAGGATTTGATGAGTCTCAAATGAATTAAAGAAGATAAAATTTAGCATAGAAATTTAAGAGAAAAAATTGTACTTAAATTATACTCTCAAAACTCAATTTCTATGATTCAAATTGTTTGTAATGATGAAATACAATAAATGAGCAATTTTTTTATATTACATTTGATAATAAAAAATAATTGACAATAAAACACCAAGGTAATTGTTCCTTCACATACAGTTAACCCACCTTGTACAAACCACCAACAGAACTAAGCAGCTCATATAATCACAAGCCCAATCCCAATAGATAAAACGATCCAACAGGCCCAACACTACCAAAATAGACATACTGTACACCATAATCTATCATAACCGACTCACCTACAGTGCTACAGTTGATGTTCCATCTCTACCACGTCTACAAGCCTCGGCACTCGAACTTGCCACTAATCACTTATTCATCCAACTCCATTTATATATTCCATAAAATTTGAAACCAACCAACAAATAACTCACCTCACTCACTCACTCACCACAACCCAAATTGCCAATCACTCCTCATAGCATCGGCTCCACAAAATCACTACTGTCTTGAGTTTCCACCAAATTTTCTCATCTTCGCTGCTGTCTTCACTCACAATCACTGCCTACCGTAATCTTTTTATATCGATCACTGCTACTACCAATTCCATGTTGGTTACCCATACTCAATTGCTCAAACCACCACGGTCAACGTCCCACCCATTCTCTTCTACAAACTACAGCTTCAAAATTGCGACTTTAAACTCGCAAACTCAAATGCCCAAGCTCTTAGCATTGGCAGCCTCTTCACACCACTACAACTGCTGGCACCTCACCTCTTCTCTTCCCCAATTTCTCTACAAATGAAGCAGACACATGTTTGGACTGATTTTTTACGTAAGACAGATGTAGGGAAGTAGTTTTCGATTTGGTCTCTGCCCTAGCTTGTGTTTTGGTATTGAGCAATGATTTATGTACAATGAATTTGACAACATTGTTGACAACATATCAGACAACATTGTTGACAACATGCCACATGTGACATGTTGTCAACAATGTTGTCAAATTCATTGTACATGAATTATTGCTCCCCAATAATTAATCTATTTGTATAATGATCTTGCACAACATTGTTGACAATGATGAATGTAGCAAAAAATTGTCGATTTAAAAGATGGGTTGTTATTTAAATTGTCCAACGACAACATGTCATGTAGCATGTTGTTAAATTCATTGTACATGAATCATTGCTCCCCAACAATTAATCTATTTGTACAATAATTTTGCACAACATTGTTGACAATTATGGATATGGCAAAAAATTGTTGATTTCAAATGAGCAATGATTCATGTACAATGAATATGACAACATGTCACATGACATATTGTCATTGGACAGTTTAAATAACAACCCATATTTTAAATCAACACTATTTTGCCACGTCCATCATTGTCAACAATGTTGTGCAAAATCATTGTACAAATAGATTAATTGATAGAGGAAAATATTAAAATAAGCATACTTAGAGGGAAAAAGGGTTTGGGTCAAACCCATTATACAAGCCCAACTAAAACCAATAAAGTATAAATAAAGATAGCCTAAAAGTAGGAGCTCAAAGTAGGTGATGTTCTCATTAACTCTTCTGAGATAGGAGAAGAAATCGACTCTACGAGTGGACAAATCATGAATGGTTGTAGTCAAGTTCCCAATCATTCGCAAAAGTGACTGAACTCATGCTACAGGGTACGATCTTTCTTAAGAAACACATATTGAAATTCCATTATTGATAGCAATGAAAACCATAGTTATTTCCAAGCATATGATCAACTAAGGGGGAAAATCTCTTTCTAATCAAGTACAAATACTGGACTCTAAATAATAAATATTTATGCAACTTATCTTTAAAATCTTCATTTAATTGCAGAAGACCTACTCGTAGAGAAAAATGATGCAACATCAAAAGCTCAAATGAGCCACGATTAGGAAAGTGAGATGGTCAGTCAAATTAAAATCTTTATGTGATTGATCCAAAAACTTTTTCTTCACGTTCTTAGGAAAACGGACTAGAGGAACGTGCAATAAAGTACAGTAATTTTCAATAGACCCTGATTTATATTGCACATGGAAAGCAAGTTCAAAAAATTCATGATTGAAAATGATTTGACCTTTTAATTTGGCATGAAATTTAGGAACATTGTCAACAGCATGTCGATAATTAGTGAACAACATCCTAATGTCAATAGGAAGATGGTGCAATCGAGTAATGGTCTTAGAGAACAATGTGGCAACCCATGGAATCACATGTAATTGAGGAAGATCTAAAACAAAGTCAACATAAAAGTCATGTAACGTAGTAGGCACAAGATCTAGGATATTTGAAATGTATGACTTGGATAGCATTATTTTGGGTAATTTCTCAATTATGTCAACGTTAAGCGTATCGATTGCAGATGTGGTCACGATAGAGGACACAATACACAGTTTGCAACTCTCAACTTCTATAAAAATGGAGAAAAGAACTACACTATAATCATCTAAACAAACCCCTAAATTTTTTATAGCTTGTGAAAATTAATGTTTGATCATGTCAACACACTTTTCAAGAAGTCTTTCCACCACATTAAACGCAATATAGCAATAGAATGAACCTCATTATGTTTATTTTGAATACTATCCAAAAGAAGGATAATCAAATCTAGATGAATATTGTCACTTTCTTCCAATGTAAGGGTCATGAAAGTCTCTATGGATGTGAAGATATTTTCTAAATGAGTACTTTTTAGAGCTACAATAAAATATTGGAACATGTCAATTATCAGCTGTTCACAATCTAGGTCCAACATGATAAAGAAGTACTCCACATTAGCCATAGTATCTAGTATCCTAACCTCCGTAGCATACGAGTTGATGGATGTGCCTATGAAAGATGCTAATGATGGTATGATCACGGAAAATATATCTTGCATTATTTCATCATAAAAGAGAAAGGAATCATGTGCTATAATCCGAAATATTCCACTAAGGCAAGAAACAATAATTACTTGTATAGCAAAATTAGGATGTCTTAATAGCTTATTTGAAACAAATGCTGTGTTAAGTGTATTAATAGATGTGAGCATTGAAACAGCATGCAATTCGTCCACTTGTGAAAAGCAAATATTTAGAGTGTTCAAGCAACGATAGGAGCTCATTAAAAGACAATGAAGATTGAAGAAGTTTTCTTCCATCTGTTAACAAGTGGACTCCTAATATTTGATATCCACGCCATAACAATTTTTTTTAGTGGACAAGCTAAAACACTAAAAAGAAAAACACTTATTCAATATAATAAAATTGTTACTTTATAAGACTCAAAAGAGTCAAACACTTCTCCAATCACAATTTTCAAATTGACATGACTATAGTGGCAAAAGCTGTCAATCAACATAAATAAAAGATCACCTATAAATAGTGTTAGAAATTTCTCTTCTTTTATTTTTTCACTTTTCTGCTTCTTTATTTTATCTCCTCTTTTCTTTTCTTTTCTTTCTTTTTTCTTTTTAATAAAAAATCAGTTACCTACTAAATAAATAACAAAATTGGGGTACAAACTGAGGCCAGACACAAGCTAGGGCACAGACCAAATAAAGAACAAAGCCAGGGCACAAACTAATGCACAATGACAACATGTCATGTGGCATATATTGTAAACAATGTTGTCAAATTCATTGTCCATGAATCATTGCTCCCCAACAATTAATCTACTTGTATAATGATTTTGCACAACATTGTTGATAATGATGGATGTAGCAAAAAAGTGTTGATTTAAAAGATGAGTTGTTATTTAAATTGTCCAATGATAACATGTCATGTGACATGTTGTCCAATTCATTGTGCCTGAATCATTGCTCCCCAACAATTAATCTATTTATACAAGAGTAATGATTCATGTACAATAAATTTGACAACATTACTGACAACATGCCACATGACATGTTGTCATTGAACAGTTTAAATAACAACCCATATTTTAAATCAACACTTTTTGCTACATCCATCATGGTCAACAATGTTGTGCAAAATCATTGTACAAATAAATTAATTGATTTAAAAGATGAGTTGTTATTTAAACTGTCCAATGACAACATGTCATGTGGCATATTGTCAAATTCATTATCTATGAATCATTGCTCTTCCTCTATATACGTCTAGTGATGTAAACTTGAAAGCTCATACAAGGATGAATTAAATGAATTGTGCTTGGCTTGTTGCTTAAGCTTTCT